TTTGCTAAATTAAAAAAAATAAAAAAAAACTTTTTTTTAATATTTTTAAAAAAAAAAAAAAATTATTATAATCACATATTTTTTGTTTTTTTTTTTTTTTTTTTTTTTTGAAACGAGATAGTCTCTCTTCGATAAGTATCTTGTTGAATTTGATAAATGAGTTATTAGAAGAAAAAATTTCTTTTTCTTGTGATCTATTCTCAACGGAATTCGGGTGACAAACACAAAAATTATATATTCCTTGAAGCAAATCTTAGAAAAGATATAGAGTTTTAGTTTAGTTCAAGTCGAGCAGAAAGAACAAAAAAAACAGATATAGTCGTTCAGAAGAAAAAATAAAAAATAATAAGAAGAATAATAATAATATTCTTTAAAAATCATGAAATTATTCAACTAAGTGACATTTAATAGACGTTCATTTTTATTAATTAACATGCATTCAATAGTGTGTTATTGACAAATAGAGAAGGTATTAACCATTTTATCAAATGGATGATATAAATAACAATTTAAGAAATCGAAAGAATTCTTTTACCTCTGTAATATTTATAATTATTCTATTTTAATTTTAATTTTTTTCTTATTTAAAACAATTTACTAGATTGAAAGTTTCTGTGTAAATGACACACTAGATACCGATTGTCGATCAAGAATTTTCTCTAATATATACTAAAAGTTTTTATTTGAGAAAAACAGTATTCATATCACAATTACAATAGTTTTTGTGTGTAAAATGCCTGTTGTTCTTTTTCATACACATATATCTGGGAGTAGTTGATCGATTCGAAGATCAAGTGATCTTTATAAGAAAAAAAAAAAAAAAAAAAAAAAAACCACCTTTTATAAGAAAAAAAAAAAAAAAAAAACTCTCAACCCCCTTTTATAAAATCTACATAGAATATGTCTCTTCACTATTGTCATTCTTTTTTTTTATTAGAATATTAAAAAATGTCTTCGTCAACACAATAGAACTGTGACTAATAGACGATTTTCTTTTTTCTACACATATCTTTTTTCTTTTTTTTCTTTTTATTCCGTTACGATTGTGTTTAACAGGCAAAACGCTTTTTTTTTCCTTTTCCTGTCTATTATCAATCACCATTTTAAATACTCGAAGGGCGAAAGAAATATACAAGAAACGTAAAATTTATTTTTATCTACGAGAGCGAATGTGCACAAGGAGGATGTGCTCATTAAAAGAGACAAATGAATTAAAGAATTTTGCTATTCATCAATATCCAGAAGCCGTAAAACGATTCCCAGAGACTCTTTCTTCAGGAATATATCTTGAGAGAAAAAAAGAACTTGCTATTCTATTCAATAAGAATATCTCGTTTAAAACGTAAAACTTCTAAGTTATTTTGTCATACCGTTTTCACATGCCAAGTTTCAATGATAGATGTCATTGTAAAGATTATGTTGTATAAAAAGTAGTGTTTGATAACTCTCGTTATTAGTATGTTAAAAAATGTTCTCAAGAATGAAGACTTAGAAAGAATTGAAAGATATTCTTCGTTCGGCTCTTGTCTCGTTTCGTTGACAACTATTCAAATCTATTGCATTGAAATATTTTAAATTTTTCATTCACATATAACTCATGATCAAATAAAACAGAAAACACAATCAATGCATGATCTTCTCTCGATTTGTCCCTAATTGACTTGTAAGATCAAACACCATCAAAGGTCACATCAGAAGTGAGAGTGAGTAAGTACTCGAGTAAAGTATTCTGTATTTTCATCATCACTTAGATTTCTTTTTTTTCTTAAGAAAAAAAAAAAAAAAACGACGGTAAAAGATTCGATAAAAATATTAAACGATATCCCACAATTACATTCAACTCCACAAAAAAGAAATCTTACAATTATTTTTTTTCTGATGTTTCACTGGTTTCATTTGGATCTATAAGCCACTGAAGTTGACATCTTTGTTTATGACGTTACAGATAAATGAATTTGACGTTTTTCGCATATATTTTTTGTCTTGAAACTATGTGAGAAAAAAAAACAAAACGTGAATGACAAATGACACAGAAAAAAGAGAAATAGTGTGTTCCGTGTATCATAACACAATCGTAACAGAATAAAAAAGAAAAGAAAAGAAAAGAAAAGAAATTAGTAAGAAAGAAAACCCTGTGAATTGTAGTTCTAATCTGTCAAAAACCTCTTTCTTCGTCGTAAATGAAAGAAATTACATCTGTATATAGGTTTTTGTCCTTCTTCTTTTTTTTTTTTATCACACAAAAAAAGAAGAGAAGAAAGGCAAGAACTGAACACACAAAAAAAGGAAAAATATTTTTACCTTTAGGATAATAATATTAAGAAAAGACATGCGATATTTTCTTGTCAACGTTCATCGCATTTGAAAACAAGAAGAAGAAAAAAAAGAAGAGAAAAATTAATTCAACTGCGGTAAGATTCCTATAGTCATTAATTGCTTTCTATAATAGGAGTCAATGGTATAAAAAAAAAAAGACTCTTCTTAAATTATTTTTTTATTTGTTATTTTTCTTTTTATGTATTAATAACTTACTATCGAAAAAATCGTTTTTTTGTTTACATTAAATATCAAAGGTAAATAAAGATAGAGAAAACAATAACTTGAGCTGATACTAATTGTCTATTTTTCAAACAGATCAGTTTAAATATTGTTTTTGAAAACAAAAAATAACATTAAAAAAACAAACCATTTGTGTCATACAACATCTCTCTCTCTCTCTCGTTCTATGGAGAATAATAAACGAAAAGATTCTTCTTCGTTGATTCATCGTTATATAGAATTTTTTGTGCAAAATGTTCGTTAACATTTTGAACAGAGACTCCAAGTCCATTTTCTTATCGCATGTTGTGACACGAGTCTCTTTAAAAAATCGCAACAGGATGGCGTAACGTGTTCGCTGTAAGGCTCGTGAAATAAGACATGATTTTTTAGCAATCACGATTTTTTCGCACTCATACAAAAATCAATGATTCTCAAGTACTTTTACTATTGTTACTATTTATTCGCGTTTTCCGTCTAATATCAGTAAATGAGCCACGCTACTTTTACCGACGAATGGCGTACGCGCGACGTGACTACGCAAGACTATATTAGTCGTGTTGTAAGCTATTACGAAGATGTGATAAGATTTTGAAAATTTTTCGAAAAATCAGTAAAAGTTTATACACCATGTGCTTAAGCAAAACAAAACGGTGAATAGAATTTGCACGGGAGATGCGCTGCGACTACGCCTGCAAAAGTTCAGCATTTCTTTTTAGCGTTCTCTTTGAACGTAACGCTAAATCACGCTGGCGTTCCTTAAACGTGAACGCGAATGTTCTAATGAACGTTAACGTTATTTTATATGAACGGTGTTGATCTTGTGTGGAATGAATAGTATTGCAAAACGTTATACAGCAATTTCACCTAGTAGTATACCAAGTGAAACAGCTTTCTCCATTACCAGTTATATTTAGTGAAAAATCAATGCTCGTTTGTCTCAAAACACCACTCGTACAAAAAAAGCTCACATTCACCAGTGCTTTAGCGTTCACGTTCAAGGAACGAAACGTGAACTTTTGAAGATCTAGCTGCGACGCTGTATTATGTCACGATTGTTAATGTTAAACGAAATACATAATCCAAAACATAATGTCGGATTATCTTCTAATTTGTATACGATAAATTCGATAAATTATTCAATTTCAAATTAATCTTAATAAATCTGTATACTATCAGATATTAGTCATGATAACTAATGACAAATGAATCCTATACTAATATTTTTTTCTTTTGTTTATTTTTAGCCGTTATGAAAGTATCAACAACGACTAGTGTAGCAAACTCAAAATCTCCGGCTACTGTTACTACAACGACTACAACGACACCTCCTCAAATTAATGACGAATTAAACGTTGCATTTCAAATCAAAAAACATAATATTCGTACTATATCGTTAATTATTTGTACTTTTACTTATTTAATTATTGGTGCATGTGTATTTGATGCACTCGAATATTCGAATGCTGTTAAAGATAAAACAAAATATGAGACAAAAATTCAAATATTTCAACAAAAACACAATATGTCAAATGAAACATTTTCACAATTATCACAATTAATTATGAATAAATCACTTGTCAAACATAAATTGAGATATGCCGATTCACTCTACTTTGCCACAGTTGTTCTAGTACTAATTGGTAAGTGTGAAAGTTTTAAATTTTAAAAAATATGTACGATAAAAAAAAAGGAAAATAATAGACTTATAAATTTTAAGAGAAAAGAAAGATGTTAAAAAAATCTACGATTAATATAAAAAATGAATCATAATTTGTGTTTCTTTATTTGATATGATTCAAAATATAGAGTATTTAGTTTAATAATAAAAACGAGAAAAAGAATAACATATTTAGCATGCTCATCGCCTAGAATTTCTCACAATGTTTTACAAACATTGTTGACAGTGATGTGTGAGATGATACAATAATAAAAAGCAATCGTTATTTATCATTTATGTCTACTTAAAGTGATATTTAATGATCAGTAATAATTTGTGCCACAAAAACTAAAATCAGAATTATAATTCTGTCCACGAACGATAGACTGATCAAAATATTATCATCGATTCACACAAGTTTTGCATTAGTCATGCTTACGATACGACGCTGATAAAATTCAGAAAAAATTATACTTCTGTATCAAATAGATGTGTACTAGGGTACGAAAATGTGAAAGTATTACGAACGTATTATAGACCTTTTCAATTAACAGATAAAAAATTCACTCCTCAAAGAGTCTTAAACAAGTACCAAGTTATGTAGAAAACAGTTACAACCTTTTTAAGGTATGTCGTTCATTGTTTCTGGTTATGCGAGCAGTGTACGCCTGCTAGACGTAATCCGACTAACATAACAGATGGCCGATCTGAAAGTCCATCTTGTAACGCAGTCACATAGACGAGTTTTTGATAAAATAGTACTGGAAAACACACAGAAGACGGTATAATCACTAATTTTCTATTTCTACTTCTTTTCATGATACAAAGTCCGGACCTTACAAATAAAGACAGTATAGTACATGCAAATTTTACAGAAAGATGTAGCACCAGCTAAAAACGCATAATTTCAATACATTAATATAAGAGAAAAAACAAAAGATTGTAGAGAATACAATGAGAAATCACTCAAACAAACATATTGAATGAATAATAATAACAGAGCAATGAACAAACAGGCAAACACAATAGTAAGCAAAAATCTGATTTATAATAATAGAAGGAGGAAAAAAGAAGAAGAAAACACTGAATCGTTCAGACATGGATGATTTTAAACGAGTGAATACTTGGTACTAAAGCTATTGTTGCTTTATTCTTAAAAGACTGTTATAGTCGCCAGCAGTGTGTCAAAGAGAATTGTCCTTTTTTTGTGCGAGGCATAGCTATAGAATTAGGATGACTAAGACTATAAGAGTGACCAGAGACTAACGGGAAAATCAGCTCATCTGGGTCTAGATTCGAGTGATGATTCGAGATTCTATAAAAATTTGCCGATCGAAAATATTTCTATATTGTCCTTAGATCGGAAACAGATTTCTCGCAAGGACATTACTGTTTTCAGTGAAGTCAAACTTTTGACAAATCATCCTAGTAGCAAAGGTCTCAGTAATCGGAAGAGGCTCACAATGGGTGGGATAGATGTTATCAAAGATAGAGTAGTAGTCCATTTTCGAGGAGAAACGTAGGTTTTGGAGAGATGATAACGAAGGAAAGTTGGTGCGTCGTAACTCATTCGATTTTGTACTAAAACTGGCGAAGAATCGCAGGGGATACGAGATGCCATATGAGAGAAAATGTTTTCATCATAAACAATTTTATGGAAATACAAAAGTCGGAAATGCTTTCGGCTACCAGATAATGATGAAAGATTCCAACGATCAAGATAAGTACTAGATTCAGAAATGTGATAGCCAAAAATAATTCTAGATGTAGACATTAAGGTGTGACACAAAGGAACTGCCATATAAAACACAACCGTACGCCATCATAGGTCTTACATACAATTTATAGAGATGAAAACGAAGATAAAAAGAGCACTGAAGAAGACACGAACAATTGTACGTACATTTTTTGATACGGAAGTTGTCTCATCTAGGTGGACTTTCCACGTTAGATTATGCATTAACAAGAGATCTAATAGTTTAAGGAAGGAAACATTTTTTTAATCTGTAATGATGATGAAAAAACATGAATGAAGATTAGGAAAAACGATCCACTGACATTTATTCGTACTTAGTTTTCCATGTAGTTTTTCTCGCAACGTTCGCTCATTTGAATCAATAAAGTTTATGTCTTCCGATCGTTAGTATAATCAGCCATAGAAAAAACGTCATCAGCAAAAAGGGACGAAAGCATATTTGTTTTCCATGACAATGATAGATCATTTATAAACAGTAAAAAAAGCAGCAAATCCAACACGCTATTCTCGCACAGTAGACAGCGATCGTGGTATCAGACGTACATTTTTCAGATTTTTCTGATAGAAAATGCATTCCAATGCATAGACATTTATTGGTATGAAAAAAGCTCGCTTCAACCATTAAGAATAATGAGAAAAAACTTGATCAAAAATGAGTCTGAAAACACACACGTATGCCATAAAACTTTTTTATTAAACTCAATAAATTTGAAAATAGTAATGATCCACATTCTGAATCTATTGTCTTTTTGAAAATAAAATGCGCGTGGGTAGATCGGTTATAGTTTTTGAAGTGGAAGCGATAGAGACCTGCGGTTTTCAGCAATAAATAGAGAAGATCATGGAAGACAAATCTACATTAAAAGAAGATTTTCCGAAAAGATTTTCTATGGAAAATCTCGCTAAGGAAAG